TTCAGTGACATTTATGTCATTGGACCAAAGCTGAATGCCCAAGAGCTCATGGATGGAGAGGAGGAGGATGAGCTTGAGTTAGATGAGGTTGATAAAGAGGGTTGTTCTATGAGCGTGATTTGTTTGCTTACAACTACTGGACGTCTTTCAATCTGCCTGGACTTGGTTGGAATTGAAGCTCAATGGTTACCGAGATCGAATTCAAGGATGCTACGATTTCTGGACGACCCGGACCCACCTGTCTTGCTGACTTATGAAGTCTTGGAGACTTCCAAGCCCAGTGAGGTTTGGGAAGGATGTTGGCCAGTTTTTAGTCATGATGTCGAATCAAGATATTCGTTCTTCATTACCAACAATTCGAACATCACATACATGTCACTCTCCACATGGGTATTCAAGCTCGAGGAAGAATTGTCCCAAGGCGCGGAGTCAAATGTCCGACTTGGCGTAGTTGTTAGCACACCATCAGAAAGGCAAAGGGTCTATACGCCACCCATGATTGACAAGAATGCTCCTCTGGCTGCCAGCACAATTATTCAAGATCCCGATCTTGGCTATTTACTTCTCTCCGCAAATGCTCATGGCCCATTATCTATCAACTTCGAATCACCCGAGTTTCAATTAGATTTCAACCGTAGCCGTGGTCGCTCAGAATCGTACGACTCCGAAACCGATAACGACAAACCTCTCGTCTTATTCGAAGCTCGACCTGTATATCAACCATCTTATGCCTTGGAACAACCATCCGAGTTACCCTCTCTTCACGAAAAAATCAAGCATAGCAAATACAAGCGTTTGTTGAAGGAAGAGATCCGATTATCACCAGCTACACTTACGGTCATGACAGACGCGCATAAAGTTCTTAGCGAAGAAACCCATCGCATTGGTACCGCAGCTGCAGAACTGTTCAGAAAATGCATTAAACTTCAGATCGAGCTTTCAAAACATATCAAACAAGCTAACGAAATCGCAACACGTGTGGAATCTGTCATTGGCGAGGATGTAGATGAAGATGATGATAAGCCCCGAGTGCCACCAAATGAAAATATGGAACAAAGAATTAAGGAAGCAAAGGACAAACAGAAGATTTTGAATGAAAGGATTGAAAATATCAGGAAAAAGATTCCTAAAAATACGCAAAGAGAACTGAGTGATAAGGAGAAAGCGTGGATAGAAGAGGTGAGGAGTCTCGGTGGAAAGGTACTGGGTGAGGATATGGACGGATCAACGGAGAGTATGGTGAAGGTATCGAAGGATCCTTGGCAGAGGTATGAAGAGGTGAAGGAATTAAAGGATGAGGTTTTGAGTCAGGCGAATGAATTGGCAAAGGATGTGGAAAGGGAAAGAGATGAAGAGCTGCAAGAGGAGAGGGATGTAGACTCGGCAAGGGATGTACAGGTTCCGTCTGAATTGAGAAGGAAGAAGGTGGGACAGATTATGAAGTTATTGGATCGGGAGACGGCTTTGGTGGAGGCTACGAAGGGAAGATTGGAGAGACTGAGTTTGGCTTGAAAGGGATGCGGATTGGTGGTGAGGGTACCTAGGTAGCGACTAATATTTTTTTGAAATCTTCGGAAATGGAAAAGGGAACGAAAATGTGTTGAATTCTGGGAAGGGAGAAGCGAGATTGTATTGTATGATATGATATGCTATGGTATCCAACAGGATGTGCGCGAATGTTCAGATACCTTCAACTTTACAGATGTTAACGAGCGGCGTGTTTATCGAGTTGAGCTGAGGTTGAATTCGATGCGTGTGGAATGCCTGGAGGAAAGAAGGGACAGACAGGGTATTTGGGCGGGCAAAAATGGAGAGCTAAAGGGCATAGTCCAATAGAAAAGATAATTAATCCAAGAATTTATGATCGGTCGATTGAATATCGAACCGAAATGGGGAATGGCCTTGTGAAATGTAGATTCATACAGCGCGAATCGCTATAGGTGTGCTTGTGTGAATGATATAGGGAGTGCGAGAGATAGTCCTAGTGGGCTTTGATTTTTGATTTTTGGTGCAATGTGATGATCTTGATTAAGTCAAGTTGGGTGATGGTTGTGGTTGTGTTTTTGAATTTTGGTTAGGGGGACCACACGACCAAAAATAGCTCTGCAAAAAATGAGGTCAGAAACAGAAGTACTTAGATCTGGTGTGTCAACATCTTGATCGTTGTTTGAGAAAAATGACAATACAGAACCGCGCGACGTGCTTGCATCGATTCATATTTTTGATCCGAGAGAAACCCGGAGTAGTGACTTATAAGCTTCCCGTGAGAATTCCAGCCGTAGCAAGCCCAGCCACTGCTCGACCAATGATCAAGCACGAAGATACCGGGGCTTCAGCACAAAGAATTGAGTCAATACAAAAAACAAGAAGGCTAGTAAGATATGTTGCCTTGGGCTCGAAGCAAGTATAGCTCTTCCCAAACACGGGTTGGCATGATGTCTGTGCCAAAAGATAGGCGCTACCATACCATCCAATATCAATAACTGCCTTGGAATGGGATGATATGCTGTGTAATACAGTAGCTATAGTAGAAGCGCGATTGTTAGATTATTCTTCGGAAGTGAAAAGTGTAAAGTGGAGAGTCGGATGATACCTAAAATGCTACTGTCTAATGCAACCATCATATCCGCTATTCCAAAAGCAATTGATACCGCGATCAAATCGTTACCGGTAAGCCATTCACTAGGCACATCTTCATTCTATCCATTGGTAATGTGATGAAGAGTTACGAGCTACAATTTCTGGGGGAGCGTAGAGAGAAGCTCCATCGGTTATGCTGACATCTGGAAAGCGTGGCGTATTCTCATAGTGAGATTCGTGATCTGGAGTCGTCATGTTTATTTTTGCTTTCGTTATCAACCTTACCATCAAAAATTTGGGAAAGAGTAATTGAGGAAGTAGAGATAGGGTCTGAAGTAGCCGCCATGATACTTGTATGTTTTGACGAGGGAATGTTGTCTGGAAATGATGTCATGATTAGTTGTTATGAACAGCTTTCAATCGCGCCAGCTCTCGTAATACGTTTATCTTGGCTTGAATTTGGTTAATCCAAGGAGGCTACCTATTTGAATGTCGGCAATATAGAAATGTGGTTCCTAGGAGCCACAGGTACGTGAAGATGTCAGCTGCACCAAAGTGAGGCTCTAAAAGTTCTACCTAGAGCTTACGCGATTGCTAGCACCCTTGTCATTCATCTCATTGGTCAATTCATACATGCAATAATTGAAACCATTCTGTAAATAATACAAGATGTCTAACATCACTCCTTCGAATTTGTGAAAACTTAAATCTATTTTATCGCGGCTTTTGAGATGCTACGGTTAGGTTTCTGCTATGGTCACTTGATTATGTTAATTCCTTGTGTGCCAAGAAGCGTTTGGAGATGAAAGGACTGGCTTTCAACTCTATCAAGGTGAAAAGGCAGAGCTTTCATCGATCTGATCTGCGTTCCAGCAGATGCAGGCAGAGACACTCCGACACATTCATTGGCTCTGTCAAAGCCAAAATTGCCCACTTTAAATTCGGAGCAGTGTGCAGGCGATAGGCTTAATCAGTAATATCATGGTCCAAAGAAGGGCCTGGTTCCTCCATACATAAAATGGTTGAGCTGAAGCTGGGGATACAGATGGAGGGAACCACAATCGAAGTCGTGCTAATTTTCTGGTTGTCTATCCATTCCAGTAGATTTCTTCGGAATTCAGGCTGTCAATTAAGTTTTCAGACCGAATTAAGGAATCAAAAGAAACATCGCGCATAGCAAAGAGCAAGTCTTTCCAGCCGTTCAAATATTTCGTTTATTAGATCAGTGTCTCATACATACGTCTTCTTCTCATTGAGCTACTCAATTCCTTTCGTTCCCCTTTCGTTTCTTTCTATTGTTCTTCTTTGTCAGAAATATCAGTATCTCAGATGATGCTGAAAGGACGACATGCTTTCAACAGTATCATGTGGAATGTTGTCGCCTACAAACCGGTAGTGTTTTGGTTTTCTACCTCCACCTTCGAAGCAATAACAAATTCTCTGAACTGCCAAGTTTGACATCTGGTTCATGAACTTGGAACCAACAACTGAAGCGAATATAGCTTTTCAAGATGAGTCTGAAGTTATGTTCATCTTGTCTCCGCCTATTCAGCTGCTTTCACACTGTTGCAGATATATGCCACTGAATATTTCGAGGACTCAGGAACCCATGAGGTCTTGAATCGTAATTCAGATATCCCGCCAGCGCTTCTACTATACGATTGATAATCTAGATTATATTTAAAGGGAGTAATTTCAGACCGCCAATACCAGCCCCAAATCTCTACTATTCCAGCTGTACTATGTTAGATTGCGGTAGCACTTGCTTCTTTTTCACAAGGGAGTGTGCAGCGAAAGCGAATAATGGATAATAAAGAGGGACGCATTTCACAAGTAATTCTTACCTTGTTCTCAGTCTCACCAATACCACATGTTTGGCCAGCTTTTTGCGGAGAGAATTCTCTCTAATGTTTCGGAAAATCTTATATCCTACTGTCAGTGAACTTCTGTCACAAGAAGCGAATCCACCCCTTCGCTTAGTCCGATAGGTTTGTAGTTACTTGACCAGTTGCCAGACTTAGCTGCAATCGATCGACTACATCACTATGAATCATTTGACTGACTGGATCAGCTACCGTAATTCATTACTATACCGAATTCTCTTACGTATCTGGCTATCTGCAGTACTGAGCTAGTCCCGTTTTCAATCAGCACTATTAGTACGGTCTGAACCTTGGGAATTTATCATAAAGGCAACTTCTATCTTAGCAGATCACAACATTTCTAAAAACATAAACTTTCCACAGTTGACTTTGAAGCACTTTTACATATTGTCCAAATTCAAACAAAATACAAACAACAGTCCGAGATCTTTATCTTTCTTTCAACTCTCAGAAGTACTCTGAAACCCACATTTTCCGACTATCAAAATCAAAATCAAAATCAACAACATACTATTCTACCATCAGAAATTCGAAAAAATGGGTATCTGTATCTATTATCCCATCGGCCGCTGTGTAGCTGGAAACCAATGCCACAACACGCATACAGGTCCTTATCAACCTTACCCTTGTAAGAACTTCATCTTCTATGGTGCATGCAAGTGGGGACCGGAGTGTCGATTCGGACACCCAGCTTCCATTCCTGCAGAGAACCCTGAGCCTAGCCGTCCTACCTGCACGAACTTTCTTTCGAGACGTGGATGTAAGTATGGTTCGAAGTGTATTAGTCATCACCCCGTTCCGACAGAAAAGGTAGCTTCTAGTGCTACTTCGGCTCTTCAAAAATCTCAATCTATCACTGCTACACCAACAGCTTCGAAGACTGCAAATTCTACCAATGTTAAGTTGTCAAAGGCAAAGCCTGCCAATACAAAGGTTGATCCTTTGATGAACTTCCGCTCTGCTCGAGTTCTTCCGAAGAAACCTCAAGTGGCCCCCACTAAAACAAATGTTTCAAAGGACGGAGGTTCCACCGAAATCCAATTATCTAAAGAAAAGACTATTGGTAAGATTACGATTCCGGCCTCACTAAAGGATTTTGGAGTAATGCCGGCTCTTCCGGTTGCTGAATCTACCACGGTCATGCCAACGGCTTCAGAGACCGCAACTGCTGCTAATGTCGAATTGTCTGAGAACAAGCCTGCTAGTATGACTGCTATCCCATCAAAGGAATCTAGTTCTACTCCGGCTCCTCTACAAGCTCAAGTTGCCATGGACACACCGGATGTCTCAAGCACTGCAGATGCTGTCGACATGTATTCTTCTTTTGAAAAGCCTGCCGACAAGATTCCTGTTCCATCAATTGATCCAGGTTCTTATGAGATCACTATACAACCCATGAAGCTTACATCTGATTCAAATGGTTCGAGTGATGCTGGTGCTACCAACACTATTTCTTCTAAGGATCAGCCAGGTGGCGCAATTACAACTTCGTCAATGAGTTCTGATTCTACTCCCGGAACTCCGTCGCTCCAAGTACTCACACCCGCTTCTACCAGTACTGGCAATGCAGATGATATTGACTATGCATATTCAATGAGCGATAGTTCTGAGTTGGTACGATCCGCAACTCGAAGCCCATCACCCAATGATGATGCGCATGATACTTCAATGTCTACTATTCCAGATGACTCATCTACTCCGGTCAAGCCAGTTCCATTTGGCCAGTCTGTTGATGAAGCACCTATCAACAATGTGAGCAGCACTACGCTATCCACGATTCCTGTCGAGGCATCGACTGCTTCATCTTATACAGCATCGACCCAATTCTCTGTCGAACATAAACAAGCATCTGTGGTTCAATCAACCGATTTAGTTCCATCAACAAGCAAATCATTCAACCAGACGACCCCGCTAGCACCCGTGGAGGAAAAACAAATTTCTGTCTTGGAGCATATCTCTACAGACTATCAATCAGCTATGAATAAGCTATCCCGTGTAGTCGTAGACTGTTCGGCCACATTGGAACCCTGCAATCTTGAGTTATCAGGGCCCGGAATGTATGAGCGTCAAGTTAGGTACGCACATCCCATTCACACTTTTCTATACTCCACACTAACGTATTATCTTGAATATAGCCACACTGAAACCCTATTTACATGGCCGCAAGAAGGGAATGTACCGGCTATCGACATGATCAACACGCTCATTAACCTCGCGTCAACCTGGGGAGAGCTCTCTAGATACCAACCTATTCATCGCAACATGGGCTCATGGCACTCCCTCCAGATCACGTTTCGACACCGACACGAGGCAGCAGCAGCTGCTGCCGCAATCAATGGACATCCCATTACTGCGGTTGGTGCAAGTATGAGTATTGCTGTATCAGTTAGTCATCAAATTGCAGTGCAATATATGATACCCCGATTCATTATTGATTCACTCGGTCGCCAGAATCAAGGAAACCTTCATCAAATCTTCGGACAGAATTCTTGCCAGCTTCATTGGGGCGATTCGCACCGTGCTGACTATTCTGGCGAAAAGCTCATGGAGGTTACAATCATGGGTACATGTGAAGAGCAAGTTGCGCAATGCAAGGCAGTTCTCGAGGATCTTCTTAGAGGTAGAATTTTGACTCATGAGGAAGGTGATAATAGACCACTTTGGCATAATTTTTTTAAGACAGATGAGGGAGCAGAGTGGATTGGACAGGCGACGACGAATGTTTTTAATATGAAGGTTCGGGCGGCAAAGCTTGCTAATTTAGATGTCTTGATGGTTCATGGATCTAGTGAGTGGTCAAGGGCTCGATTTGGAACACTTGTTAAGAAGAAGATTGCGGAGTTGGAGAAGGCTTCTGTAGTCACAGCTGTTGTTGCGGAAGAGTTGAGGTTGATGAGATCAAGGGTTAAGGGTTAAGGGTTAAGGGCCAAGGGCTAAGGGTTAACGGACGGATAATTGAAGATTACTTTTGGGCGGCTTTTTACGATAGTGTAGTGATAGGTTACACTCTTTTTTGGAAGTTTCTAGTGGGTTTATTCTAGCGTTATTCTTTGAAAACTATGAAATACATTGGGGTGTTAAGTGATTTTGAACGAGATAATGAATGAAAGTATCTTTGCCACATAAGGATGTGAAGTTTATAGAGGACAAATGTCAAGCCATATCATCTCGGAACACTGACACAATAAACGAACAAGAGGAAGTCTGCCAATAAAGCCTTGGTTGAATTATGTAATGAGCTTGTTATGTATTTGTAGTAAGTTCATAGTTATTTGTGTTTAGATATCTTGAAATTGTTGATCTAACAATATACAAGGCGATGAGTGGGTTGAGTCAGACTTGTTGAAGTCTGGTGTGCTGCATCTGTGCAATTTTAGTTGAGGGTGCCAGATTAACAAAGGGCGAATAAACCAGCACGATGGTGGTTTATTTGAGAATTAGAAACACTTTTGTCACAGTATATTGACGAGTTGCGACACTGAAACTACATAGGCTACGTGTCATGAAACTTGAATTCTGCTACCGAATGACGACGGGCACTTCTCCGTGGACCACATGCGGCGGTAAAATATTGTGGTGATATTCACAATCAATGGCATTATATCTACAGGATCTGTGAGAACTTGTCAAAACATGGTTTTATATTTATTCTAGCAAGTCGCAGAGCTGTAAAAGATTCAAAGTCATAGTGATGCGGAGTATGTCCGATTGAAGTTGACGAGAAAACCTATATACCCCTACTAATTTACCATTTCATTACTTTGCCCGGACTGAAAGTTTACAGTGTTCTTTTATTTTGAATTCTTCTATGTTCTATATGGCACGACGACGACTCGACAACAATCGAGATATTTCCTGCTGGACGACGGAGTGGTGTTGCACGCGTGAGGAGAGCCACCAAAGCATGGCGCAAAAACTACCTTGACTTAGATATAATATTTGGAATTTCAATTATGAAAAATGATCGTCGAGGAATTTGAGGGGTTCTTTGGATAAGACTGGTTTGTGATGTTGAAGTGTTGGGGGAGAGACTGGTGAAGACTCGTCTTAGGACCTGAGCCGAATCCGACAGCTAAGTGCTTTCTTATTGCGTTCGATGAAGGGTAAAAATGATACTGCTGCTCAAATGACCTTGGGTAGCTGGGTTAGGGGAGAATTGACCGATGAGTAGAGTATCTGTATGATAATTAGAGGCAGACTTATCTTGATGGCATCCACGGGCTCGCCCAAATTCACATCTTCGGATTTGAATTACATGCTAACTAAGGCAAATCTCCCGGCAACAGAGGACTGAAAGAGTGACAATTCATGGCATTCCAAAAGACAATAAACTCCCATCCCAAGTGATGACCTGCCGCGATCAGATGATACACCGGCAGTTTCAAAACAGGCATCCAACACAGTTTTTTATTCTATTTTTTGTGGCTTTTTGATTTCTGTGGGAGCACAGGCTCCACAGTAACACGCATCATTGCTGTAATCTATCACTTTCATGAAAGGAAATATACGAATCCAATGAGACACCAAAACTCTTGCACAAGTACGTGAAGGCACTAGATGGTGGTGGATTGCGGACCCCCAAACCCCAAATACCACATGAGGGGTAGAATGCTCAGGTCACACATGTCGATATGAAATGCCATCAAAGCATGCACCAGAATCACATATAGTGTGATATCTAACTCCTCGGAGACATTAATCACAGTCAAGGTGGCACGAACACCTTGGTTGATCGTCATGAATTCTTGCCAGCGAAATTGGTCGTCTTCTCACAGCAGGTGATCACTGATCACCAACCCCACGGCAACCACAAAGCCTCGGGATTAATGTTCCCACTCAATGACTATATTTCCTTATTTCCCATTCACAACTGTGGATGTGATCTTTTTCGAAATCCCAACTCATCCAGGATCATTGCTTGGCCGTAATTACTCGACTGCGCATCCAGATCATCAAACTCACAACCTGATTGTACAAGTTTCTATGTGAGACAAGTGCTATCAAGAACTGCAGGCATAAAATATGATCGAAGATAACGCATTGTGCCTACTGCATGCCAAAAACTTACAACTGTTGTATGTTCAACCCTTGAATATTTGTGCGCCTACTGCGCCGGCTCTCAAAGCCGCTGATAGCGAATGTTGGCATGATATTGTCGAGTAATTCTGCGCCGCATGAATTGATTCAGCCAGTGGAGATAAGATCAGCCTACAATGGGCTTTCGTCGGAGACCTGGCGCGAATTCGTGTCACTGTGAGGGAGCGGAGTGGCCGAGCCGAGCTTGGCGGTCAAATTCCGACAGGTTGGTATTCGGCGGCGAACTCGGCGACTGTGAAATCTTATCGCCGTCTGGCATGGATGTATTCTTCTGGGCATCTAGAAGATTCTACATGAAGATTGGGGCTTGCTAGGTTGTACAAGCTCATTAAAGTCCTTCCTAGCGCGGTTATATTCAAAGATTCGGCAGATAAAGTATGTAGAAGAAAGGGGTATTAGATACCATCTTGGGGCAAACGACAACGGCCAACTTCTTCTGGAACTAAATGGCCCTGGTAATGACATGCATCAAATCACTTAAATTTCCAAACGAAGAAGCTCGCTTGAAGACAGCTAATTGAGCCGGGCATCAATACCGGATTGTCTAACCCTCTATTCCAAGGATATTTGCGCTTGAACCATTCATCGCACTTCCCCGAATCACCGAATTGGGCCGAGGACGAAGGGAGAGAACGTTCGAGACGTGTGACCGTTCATAATTCGTTGCTGCTCTCCCAGCTCCCAGCATTTCTCTCCAAATGACAATTCTAAAACCAAAACAAAGCCCCGCCAAAAATACAAAATTCCAATATCAGCTTCATGCGGCCCATCCTTACCCATGCTCATACAATTCATGAGAAGCAACAACAGCTGCGCTGCCACGGAGACCCCCTACCATTCGCTTAGACGCATATTTGAGCAAGAAAAGTTTGCATCAGCACTACCACTAGCCCCTATTCATGCCCAATCACAAATAACCAACTGAACAGATGTATATTCTGATCGGGACATTGAAAGCTTGTCTGTTGGACATTGAATTTTAACAGAAAGTGACGCTCTTGCATTTGCAGATATATATTTACCCGGTATCCGATACTAACTTGAGTGTGCCCAAGAGAGATGAGATAAAAGGGCAATGTTGCATTGAACAGTTTAGTGTGGTAATGGTGCTGATGTAAGTCCCGACGGAACGGATCACGAAAAGTCTGTGCAAGTGTTTGCTGTTCGAGATGCACAGCCCGCCTCGCAATTGCATTTTCTATTCTTTACTCACCGTTTGAAGGCTGAGGTGGGATTACATAGTGGTGCTACTGTGAAGCTTGAGGCACGGCATTTGCATTCTTGGGTATGTCGACCATGCAGTAAGATTTTCCGGGACTTGCAAAGTTTAGAGCAAAAATGCTTATTGCGGCGCTTGTGAGACATGGACATGGAATTGTTGGTTAAAATGAATATGGACGAGCGATCATGATTGTTTATGGTAAACGATTGAGGTAATCAACTCGGTGACTAGATATGATGTATTTGGAAATTCTGACAGATTACGTGGGTTTGTTCAATGGTCGTTTATTAAAAGAGCGGGTCTACTTTCAAGCGTGAATTCATGCCGCTTTCATGAGGCGAATGAGCTTGCAGATGGAGTTGGAAGTATGTTGGTTGAAGTCTTGGTAGAATATTCAGGAGGCTCGTATATGTCTCTGTATGGAAAGTAAAAGCGTCAATTTTCAAATTGATATGAATTCAGTGGTCTTAAATACCTTCCTTATTGGATCAAAGTTAGTTTGAGTGATTTTTATGTGTAACTTGACTTTGTAAAAGTGGTGGATTAGCTTAAAGTTGGAAAGAGAAGAAGCTACATTGACTGTCAGCCATCCTGGTAAAAAGAATGTTCAATTGTCTTCAAGTTGAGTGCTTATCTGGGAAGCGTCCAACCGTCGGTCCGGAAGCTTGGACTGAAAGATGCTAAAGGAATTTAATCTGGGGATGAACGTTACATGTTGATGTACAACTAAACCAATTCGGATCCTCTAAAGACAGCAGAAATAAGGAGTTCGTGAATCTGTTCTGATCAAACCTGATCTTCTCGAAGACCGGGGTCTCGGAAGTAGATTAGGGTTAGACGCTTGTTGGTTTGATTACTACAATGAATTCCAAATCTTGTACCAGTTTCCCGGGTCAACGGACTTAGGGAAGGGTCGACAGATTTTAGCAAGCTCACAAAACAGGATCCAACGCGAGATGAGCCCAGGGGTCTTGCAGGGTATTGAACAGATTTCTGTACCTCTGCACCAATTTACATGTCATCGCTGACTTTCAGATTGGTGGACTAGAAACTCCGGTCAATGTTAGTTGGTCTACGGTGGTCAATCGTTATGAGCATGAAGTTCGAACTTGCCAGGTAGTAAATTAGCGTACTGATATTATTACCATTGGCGGCGATAAAGTTTTGAGCCGTTATTTCTGCATGATGAGATGTGATGTGGATTATGCAATCTCATAGCCATGGAAGAAAGATGCCGAAGTCCCTTGTGCAACCTTGTGCAGAAGAGGGATTCAGATTGCTATCGAATATTGAAAATGCTCGGAGACTGTAAATTTTGCATTGTTGAATCCATGGCAAACAATACACAAGAATAATGACTAAATCCACTCCGACTGTCTCACTGCCCAAATACAATCATTCAATTGTGGCCAAAAACACAGTATCATTTTGTGCACTAATAGTGACCAAAATCATGGAGAACAAGAAAGCGTATGAAAAAAGCCTTTTTCTAATCATTAAAGTCATTTCCTTTTCGTAAATTTGTACCAACTAGCATAGATCTAGCATTATACCCATAATGTGTACGGGAATCAATCAACATCCCCAACTTTAAACACGCAGTGAAGCATACCAATATACCAAGATACCAAACGTAATGAATGACAAGACAAAAACCAACATCGTGAGAAGTAGATAACCC